TACATTTAAATGTTAAAGGCTTCCCAAACATACATCACTTCAATTTCGAATTGGATTGATATACACATGCATACATATGTGTATTATCTACCAAGTACCCATAGTAGTTATATGTCTATCGTGTCAGGCGATTTTATTATATATGGGCTTCTGTATGGCAACAATATTATACTTGTGTAGTTTTGTGTAATTTATTCGAAGCTCGTTAAATCTCGTCCAACCAATTCATTCATAAATTTCAAGCTAAGTCTAAAGATAATTGCCTTGTTGCTAAATTCAACATCACTATTATATATATCTTATTCCAAAGTAAAGTATGTAATTGGATTAGTGAAGCGTTTATTGAGGGTTGTTGAGAGGTTATGTGGTTTTAGTAACCCATTTGATATTAAAAATGCTAAACTCTCGCAAGGTTTTCCAGACCGGTAATGAAGAATGATAAATACTAACGAATGCCTTTAGAAAGATGTCTACTGAACAAAAAGTTGCAGCCCCATCTCAAAGTTTATTAAATAATAAAGTAAGTAATATTTCATTCTTTTGTTAGATAAATCCAAGGAGACGTATTGGAACAAAGCAATTACCAGATTAACACCCTAAGGCTAGTATGGGGAATTTAATGGGGGTTTTTGAAAGGCGTTGTACATGGCGTATTTAGCATCAAAGTTTAATTTGATAGTTTCAATTACTAACATGTTTTTAGTGGGATGTTGTTTTATCAAACACTTTAATCAAGACCGGTTTAGGTTTTGGTGGTGGTGTTTTAGCGTCAATCTTATTATTTAAGAGAAGATCTTTCCCAGTCTGGTTAGGGATTGGTTTTGGTTTAGGTAGAGGTTACTCTGAAGGTGATGCTATTTTCAGATCTAACCACGGCTTAAGAACCGTTAAGGCTTGAATTTCTCCGCATAGACGACTAAATTATTCATTGGGTATATCCTCATCGACTCAGCCCTAACCTGAAAGGTATTCTGGGGTTTATTTTATTGTCGGATTGTAAAGTATAATTGTTAGAGATTAGTAGATGTGGATGAAAGAAAAAAGATGAGGCTATCTTAAGTTATACGTTGTAATGTCCTCATAACCTTTTATTATATTGTTTTTGTTCTTGTTTTCCTTGCCAACTATTATCCTTGGTAATGGTTTGGTTTATTTTATTATATTCATAATCATATGAAAATAGACGTTAAAAAATTGAGATGCATGGTCTTTTTTTATTATTCATTTATCATTCTGTTATTAAACATCTCTAGAAATAGTTAATAAAATATTCTTAGAATGTTACTTTCTACATGGTGATTAAGTGACCACGGTAAGCCACTTGATTTATGTAACTAACTTCGTCTCTAGTCTATGCTCCACATCAAACCTAAATTGGTTGTGTATATAAAGAGATGTATATATATTAATTAATGTATAAAATGAAGTCGTAAAAGAATAACCTTATAGAAATAATGTCTAATGAAATTGATAGCATAGTCAACGGTGATATAGATCTTTACGAATTTCTAGAGATAGACCCAACATTTGAAGAAAGTGAAATTAAACGTCAATACAGACGAAAGGCTTTACAATACCATCCTGATAAAAATCCTAGTGAAGATGCTGCTAAGAAGTTCCACTTTCTATCACAAGTATATGAAATATTATCCAATGACAAATTAAGATACAATTATGATAGGATACGGCAACTCAAAATTAACAAAATAGAGAGACTGAATAAATTATCTGAACAAACTAGAGCCTTCAAAGAAGAGTTGGAAAAGGCTGAAAAAGAATACAAATTTAATAATTCCAATGTATTTGATAATACAAATAAGGAATTTGTTCAAAGAAAAATATGGGAAAATAATTTAGAAAGGTTAAAAGAAGAAGGTTTAAAAAAGCGTAGAGTTCATGAAAAGGAAATAATTGAGCAGTCTGCTTCAGGTATTCAACAGACCAAGAGATATATATCTTTTCATGATCTACCGCTTAAATTAGAGAAAATATCTATCTTGAGGACCCTAGATGAAGATTGCATTGATTCCAAAGGCAATCAAATGACAAAAACCATTGTCAGATGGAAGCATAAGCCAGAACTAAAAGAGTTGATAACACCGGATATATTGCAAGATATGATGATAATATTTGGTCCAATAAAAAACACAAAAATAATTCCAAATACTAAAAATTCCAGATACGACTCAGGAATAGTGGAATTTGAAAACTCTAAGAGTGCTGAGAAGGCTGTTAATCATGACTACAAGAAAAGTGCCACTCTCTGGGATGGAACGAAAGTCAGAAAGTTGGCTAGTTTATTGAGAGAATGCAAGTATGATACCCCTACGGTGCCTCCTGGTGATACAGAAATGGATTCAATTAGTCTGGATGAAACTCAAAAGATTAGGAGATTGATTGCTAAGCTGAACAAGATGACAAACTTTAACCCTCCTTCAAAATATGCCATTCAGAATGTTTCTTTAAAGTCTGACACATATATGGATCAGATTTTGAATAACTTTGTTTTAAAAGAAGCTAGAAATGAAGTCTAATGATTGTAAAATCCGTATCTGACTCAAATATAATAGACTTTTGTATAGTTGAGTCTTCTAAAAATTTGCATTTATATACGGCAAATATAGTGTTTTAAATACTATATAGCTAATTCAGATCGATGTAATATATTGATCAACCTGTATTAACCTTGCCACTATTTGAAAACCTACATTTATAATCTCTTAATTGAAAATCTCTTAATAGTATTAATTTAATCATCCCTCCATTTAACGAAGACTTCATCAGTTCTAAATCTCTGAGTACAGACAGTGTTCCATAATTCATTAGTTTGTCCCATTCTATAACCTAACAAACCAGCATGGGCAATCATGATACCATTATCAATACAAAATCTCTCATCAGTTGCAAAAATTGACCCATTTTTCCTATCGTTAACCATTAGTTCCATCATTTCTTGTAATCTTTCATTGGAACCGACACCTCCAACTATCAATACTTGATTACTTTGTACATGAGCCATAGCTCTCTCAGTTATTTCTACAAGCATGGAAAATAATGTTTCTTGAAGCGAAAAGCAAAGGTCTTCAGGTGTAATTAGCTCTCCTGTTTCTTCATCGATTAACTTTTTGTTTTTATTCTCGGCAAATAAATCCTTTGCTAATGAATCAACATGAGCTAAAATACCAGACATCGATAAGTCCATTCCTTTAACAGTATACGGCAATGGTACTAAATGCTTACCTTTCTTTGCCATTTGTTCAATATTATACCCTGGCGCGGGCTCATTAGGGATTCTTAAGGTTCGAGCAAAACGATCTAGACAATTTCCTATAGCAATATCTAATGTTTCTCCAAAGATTCTATATCTTTGTCTAGAATATGCAATGACTTGAGTATTTCCTCCACTCACATACAATACAACTGGATTATCAGCTCCAGTTATTTCTCTTCCCATTTCAATATGACCAACACAATGGTTAACACCTACTAATGGCAAATTCCATAATTGCGATAATGTCCTTGCCGCTATAACTACACTCTGCAAGGGTGCACCCATACCCGGGCCTTGAGTAAAACAAATACAATCAAGGTCACTACCTTTAACCTTAGCTTCAATCAATGCCTTTTTAATTATACGAACAGCCCAATTTCTATGATGACGTGCTGTATCTCGTGGTAAAAATCCTTCTCCGGGAGGGGTTATATAAGTATCTCTGACATTGGATAATATTTCAGCTCTATTATCTAACGAAAGATGTCCTAAGTTGTGTTTTATAACACCAACACCTAGCTTATTGGCGGAACCTTCAAGACCCAATGCAAGATAGTAATCTTTACCAGGTTTAGCATATTGGTCTAAATCAACCGTCATTATTAGCACTCTTAAGACGACTAGTTACCTAATATCTAAAACAGCTTTTCTGATTTTATTGATGAGTATATTATGTTTTATATACAGGAATATGATAATCGCTTTAAAGAGAGAGATATAAACAAACACCAGAACATAAAAACAAACGGGACATTCAATAACATGCCATCGTTAAGTTACTTTCTAGACAGGACAAAACAACTGTGTGAATCCATACTGTCGTTGAAATTTCAATCTCCTGGAATTTTTACAAATTCATTCATAAAAGAACCCTCAATTACAAGCTTATTAAAAGATGCAGAGGAACATGAGCAGGCACTCTATAAGATAAACAAACCTACGGGATATAATAACCTATCTAAATCATTGATTTCAAATAATAGTAACGATAAAGAAAAGGAATCGACGCGGATGCAACTTGAGATGAAGCCAGAAAGAATCGATGGTAAATCGTACTATGTTGATTATAGCTTTAATGATTTTACAAACCTCAATGTGAACAACAAGCAAGCGCCCTCTGAACAAGTCAAGAGAACAGCTGTCAGAATACCAGAGATAGTAAAAGAGTCAGTCGAAACCTTCCATGAAAACAACGATGTACCGAATTCACCAGAGAAGATCATCAATGTAAACTTGATACCTGAGTCTATAATTCATTCAGACAACATTAACGACATATGCGAGACGATATTGGGTTTGATTAGACGGTATCCAAATTTGCTTCAAGAAAAGAAGACGAGTCCCGACGCAACTTTGCTAAGCAATATCGTCGAATACCATAAAGAATACAACACTCTTATCAACGAAATCAATGAGTTAGAGGAAGTGGTGGCCGAACAAAAGGACCAATTGAACTTCTACAACATCAACTTGAGCGAGCGAAGCCCAATCGATAGAAGCCCAACTCGAGGCAATAAGAGATCGCATGAAGAATCGTCCGACATCACTGAGAACTCTGACGACAATATTGATATCGACGAGCTCATCGCTCAGGAAGAGAGAGAAATACAAGAGTTGGAGGACCAATTGACTAAGCGTCAGAAGATAAGCATATGAAAGGGCAGAAGTATACATTTCGTTGTTGTATAGTATAAGTTAGCATAATATAGGCTCTACGGTCTAATAATTGAAATCCGTCTATTAATATACAAATTAACGAGAAACCTAATTAAAATTAGTTGATGGAAGACAAGATGTCAGAGTCACCAGCATCTAAGATAGCTAAAGTACCGACTCTGAATAACTTACCACAAACGGTACCTAATTCGTTGTTACCACCTTGGAAGTAGTAGACTTGGGTCTTAGACAACATAGCGTAGTATTCCAATTCAGACTTTCTTAAGACTGGGGTGTTACCAGCAATGATGATTAACTTAGCCTTACCAGTTCTTAAAGACTTGACGGCGGACTTGTATCCTAAGGTGTACTTACCAGACTTGATAACTAAACCTAATTTAGAGTTAATGTTGTCGCTGCTCTTTGATTTTGGGGCCTATTAACTGTTAGTATATTGCTCTATGCTGTGCTTCGGTCCACAATTCGCAATTTATAAATAATGACCTGCCAAATACGCCGCTTCTGCTTCTGACTTCCAACTACTCGAGTCTAACATAATGCCTTCGACTTGTTTCGTCTAGCCCTCTCCCAGTGCTCTCTATTTGACATTCATCTATTCATCTGTAAATAAGATACTGACCATCTCTGCGTTTCTATATAATTATACACTCCGGTCTTGAGGTGATTAGATGATTTCTTCTCTTTATGAAAGAATACAACTGAAAATTTATTTAATTATGTCCGATGCTCACCAGACGACAGGTGAGAAGTGAAAAATTTGCGATTGTGACCAAACCGAAAAGAGCAGTCACAAAGGTCACATGATATTAACTTTGGATATCCCCGTTATGGGAAATCGTCGTGTATACTCCAAATCCTCGGGTATTAGCACCAGGTCGTTAGTGAGGGCTCACCCGAGAGAAGTGACACAAAGCTCATAGTTAAGGCTCAGGACTGGACGGTTTTTGTGTAACCGAAACCCGAGTTGGGCGAGAGGTGAAAAATTGCGACTAACACTGGGACATAATTGAAAAGTTAGTAATAAATTTTTATTTACTATCAAGGATTGTTAAAGCAACGATTAATAGGTATGTTATAGATGATATAACCGGTACATATGACGAGAGAATTATGATGAGATAGCACAGACAAGAAGAGGATATGAAATATGATGAGCCCATACTGTCCATGTTGTCAATGTACTCCCGTTTATACTGGTGGACGAAAAAGTTTTTGAACTGCGTACTAACTAGAATAGTTTATAATGAAGGTTGAACTTGACTCATTTTCCGGTACTAAGATCTACCCAGGTAGAGGTACTTTATTCGTTAGAGGAGACTCTAAGATTTTCAGATTCCAATCATCTAAGTCTGCTTCTTTATTCCACCAAAGAAAGAACCCAAGAAGAGTCTCATGGACTGTTTTATACAGAAGACAACACAAGAAAGGTATTTCTGAAGAAACCACTAAGAGAAGAACCAGAAAGACTGTCAAGAACCAAAGAGCTATTGTCGGTGCTTCTTTAGAATTGATTAAAGAAAGAAGATCCCAAAAGCCAACTGACAGAAAGGCTGCCAGAGACCTTAAGTTAGCTAAGGACAAGGAAGCTAAGAAGGTTCAAAAGGCTGCTAGAAAGGCTGAAAAGGCCAAGTCTGCTGCTTCTGGTGCTCAATCCAAATTCTCTAAGCAACAACAAAAGGGTGCTTTCCAAAAAGTCCACGCCACTTCCCGTTAAGTTTGAGTAAGTTAAAATATGATGTTAACGCAAATTAGATTAACAATTGATGTATTTTTAATATAAATATATGTAAGCTTTTTCGAAAGTTTGGTGGTTCTTTTTTATATCGCTTCCTTTTTAATGTATGTTTTTATTGTAACTATGCGTGTATTAGATTTTAAACTCACCCCTGACAAACACATGGCCTACTTTGTCACTATCTAATCTACTTAGAATTACTTCCGGCTTGTTATTATGTGACCTGAATCCAAAATAGAACGATTCAGTGCTATGACAGTAAACCAAGCGTTTAACACCGCTATTTAGGTCATGTATTATACAAATAGCTCCGATGTATATCATTTTATTATTGTAGTCATCCACGGCCGTCAAGGGTAAGTCCGTGCTGGCTTGCAAAATGATATTGACCAATAGTTCACAATAATCTTCACTGAAGTCATTAATCATATTATTTACTATTCGGTCTGCGGCATCCATCATTATTATATCCTCTCCGTTTCCACTACACATGCAACTTACTGATATCCCATTCTTTGTATGATGTCCTATAGCGGCTCCAAGAACACCTGCACACCCTATTCTACCTGGAAATTTAAAGAAGTTACCTCCTGATGAAGTTGCGATTTCTGTGTTTGTATTTCCTATATGTATGATGCCTATCGTGTCCTGTATTTCATTTCTTATGCGATTTAGCTCGTTTGATGTCTGATTATAGTCACTCATCAATGTGTGCTTATATGTATCGTAGATCCTCTGCGACTTAGTTGATACCAACGTCTCCTTGTCCACATCCTCATTGTTATTGGTAAGTTCATCCAATAGCTTCTTCTGACAATGATCAAATATCAAGGGTCTAGCAAGACCAAAAGATTTAAATCCTGTAGAATATAACGTATTCAATTGCTTGAAGCATTTCAAGGTTTCTGTTATCGGGTATTTATTGACTATGTTATACATAACTCCCATACTAGTATATTTATCTTCCCTGTTGTAAGATATAAAGCTAGCATCACATTGAACTTCCCCAATCAAATTTAGCGACGACCCATATCCAGTATTAGTCAAAACTGATCTTTCTAATTTCTTACTGACTTCTGCCAACACCGTTTTCGAATCATTAACTTGCAAAGCCTTTCTAATCAATTGCTTGTATTTGTCATTTTTCTGTAAAGAGTGACTTCCAGCTCCTATGTGCACAATTACTAAACTATTTGACCCTTCCATAAATAATGGATGTTCGATGTCTATTTTCAAGCATGGTAATCTTGAAAGTTTGGAACCTACGCAGACAAAAAGAAAAAAAAAGAAAATGGTCCCTAGCAGGATCGAACT